TCATCATCATCATCATCATCATCATCGTCATCGTCATCGTCATCATCATCATCATCATCAACATCATCATCATCATAGTCACCATCATAGTCATCATCATCATCAACATCATCATCATCATCATCATCAATATAGGAAAAGTAAAACAGAGCCTGGGTTCCGTCACCACCCAGCCACTGAGGCCCCTCTACCTACAGCATCTACTTTGGGGATTCCCATTTTCTTTTTCTTCGTTGCAGCTTTGAACTGATACTGAAGAGCCGGTGCTCATATCATTAAAAGTTATTCCAAAATATTTTTTAAAAAATGCCTTTAAATGTGAAAGCAATGGCCAAATTATTGGGAGGTGTTTAAGTTTAATGTCATACATCACATAGTGCAAATGAGCACATTTAATGTTGAGTCCAGGTTTTGAGTGGAATTTGTTACTGGTCTGCTTTTCAATCTGTTAAAAAATATCGCAGCAAGATATTTTTTATTGCAGAGACACTATAATATTTTCCATTCATTTGATATTCAATGCATGTTCCTTTACACCAATGTTGATGCACTTCAAAACACGCGCGAATACACTTTTCTCAGTTTCTTTGATTTCGCCAAATTTGACCAAGTCGGACATTTTAAGGTTAATTTTGAGTGACCATACATTATTATCTCGAGCGACTGTTATCGTTGATGAAATATTATATTAATGTGATTGGTGTTTGGTGATACAGAATTTATTTAGCGTTAAATTGGTATGCTTCATACTGTGTGAAGGCTTTAGCACGATGATTGGGAGAACCCATAAATTTCACGTTTCTTTTGAACGCCACTATAGGTTGATGAGGGGAAGGTGGGGCGCTAAAAGTTGCTCAAGTCACTGAGTGCAATAACCAACAGCCTAATCAGCTGATCGGAGGGGAGTATTCTACTTACTTATTGGTAGCTGTGGTGTCTCTGGTCTACTGAATCTCATCGGTTCAGTAAAAAAAAAAAAAAGGAATCCGGGAATAAGCGTAGCAATACTAAAGTGAGAAAATACAAGCTTATGATGTATATTTTTCGGGGGCGGGGGTTGTAAACATGGATTCTCTTCCGAAAACTCTAGCAACAGATCTAAACAGCAGTGGTATCTACTTTGGGGTTTCCATGTTGAGACATTAGATGACTTCGTGGTTGTTTTGGCTTTTTTTGTTGCTCTTTTTCTAGTAATATATGTGGTGAGGCAGCGTGGTGGAATCAGACTCTCGTCAAAATTATCAAAGTGAAGAAACGTGCCTTTTTCCGCAGGTTTGTGAATTTTTATCAAACTTTTGTTTTTTGGCTCAACACCTTTCATGCCCATTAAAGAACTCATTTCTGTGTGGATCTTTCAGAAAAGCGTTGATTAAAGGCACAAAATGTTAATTTACAGTTACCACAGACTCTTAAGCTTAGGAAATAACTAATCTTTGGCGGCCATAATAATATTATGAGCACTTATTTTACCTATGAAAACAGGTGACCCCCACCTCCTTCATTAGCAAATATCTCGACTTGTATTCAAGATAAATGGATGTTTTTTTTTCATCCAAATAAAGTCAAGTGAACAGGCTTTAAGATGATACCAATAACTCTACATTTTCATAAATTGACGAGAGCCTGATTCCACCACGCTGCATCACATTTGTGTTTTACACCCCCTTGGACACAATTTAGACCAATAAGGAGGTGGTGGGCTTGCAACCATGCCTGCCTGTCAAGTGTCAGAAACCAACCCATGCTGAGCGGGATACAACATCGCAACAGAAGGACTGAGATACTCGATAAATAAACATTTTATAACATTCTCCCCCCCCCTCGGGAATCGAACTCGGGTCTCCTGCGTGCGACGGCAGATCGTCTGACCACTACACCATAGACGCCGGTGGAATATTATCCTGGGAAAACTCTAGCGATATAATTTTTCGGTAAGATTGAAGAATACCGGACAAGCGGACTGACTTTGCCTATGTCTCAACCTTAGGATTTCATGATTTTCCCCAGTTTTTATCTCTCAATGGAGAATCTCGGACCCGTAGATCTATTCATAAAATTTTGTCAGGGGGGAGACCCCCTCACCATCCTCCACCCGCCCCACCCACCCCACATTCTAGCGCAATAATAAGTATAGCTATCTACGAGTGGTCCGGTATTCTTCAATCTTCCCAATTTTTCTACTTATGGTCTTTATTTTGGAACATCCGGTTGCCTCGTGGGTAAGATTGAAGAATACCGGCCCGGCCGACAGGGACTACTTTGCCTATGTCTCAACCTTAGGAATTTATGATTTTCTACGGGTGGTGAGCGCGTATCTCAAGCTAAGTCAGTGACACAGTTTTTAGAGGAGAGAACGGATTGGTCTCACTGCATTAACCCCCCCCCCCGTTAACCCTAATTGTTTTTTCTCAAATAAAAAAAACAAAAACAAAACCCCCAACAAAACAAAACAAAAAGCTCCAACAACAACAACAACAACAGAAGCAAGGCGGCTGAACCACATGACCAGCAACTTGCGGGCTTCTGTTTCAGTTTATAAAATTATGTTACAGACAACAATTAGGGAGAGCTCTACAAATACGGTTTCTAAGACACTTGGTTCGACATTTTATAAGGGCTTTGAGCATCTTGCCTGCATTGGAAAGATATTATATTTATAAGGTAAACGAGGCGAGGGCAGACTTCGGGAAAGTTATTGGGAAAACCTGAACAGAAGACGAAGAGATCATGAGTGATGGAGAAACACGAGGATAATGTGGGATCTTTGAAAGTATCCGAGCGCAGAAATGAATTGAGAACTGTGACTGCCCATGTTTGTTTCAGGTCTGGCACTTTACGATGATGATATGACTAAACTTGTTATACCTGTCGTTGTGTCAGAGTATCCAGGGACAAAATCATAACCATGTTGATGATGATAATGATGATGATATTTGATAATAGATCTAGTAATAATTTAAATTAAAAAAAAATTAAAAA